AGGTGATCAGTGATGGTCTAGCTGTAATCGAGAGATTATAAGGGGAGATGACCTATGTGGGCAAACGCATATATACATGTGTTCTCCTACATACGATACAGCCCAGCAACTGGAAGCATCTTGGTAGAGTGGACGAGACAGCGGGTCAATCGCAATGGCACAGTATCCTATCAAATGTTGTGTCGCAGAGGGGAGTAGAAAGATTTCTTACTAGGCCATCGATTGATTATGAAGTCGATAAGTGGACAAATTTCGACCAGGCGACGGGGCAAAGCCACAGAGCAGCAAGAATAAACCAGATGGTACTCTGTGCAGCAGACGCAAAAATTCGACAATTTTTCAGTTCAATCTGTCCTTTTCTACGGCTCTGAATGCTCTGGGTTTTGCGCTTGGACGGTGGAAGAAAACTGAGCATATTTGACTATCCTACGAGTGAGGTACACTGAGGTATACGCCTCAAATGAGACAGTCCACACTTGCTGCAACAAGTTCTCAAGCCATCCGGGAAAGACGAATGAGGTAGTTTGAACACGTTCTTCGTTGCCAACCTCATGAGTTCAGCGTTACTGCCCTCGACCCTAATTAAAAACGGTGAAGATGGCGTCAGCTCAAAACCTGGCTCGACTCAGTCCGTCAGGACATCGAAGTGGTTCGTGGACCTTCGGTGCAAGGTTTCTGGCGCTGGCGAAGAGAATGGATGGAACTGTTCAGGTGGGCTGCCACGGATTGTTACGCATGGCGAAGTACGGTGCGAGACACCATAGAGACCGGCTAAATCAGTCATGATCGCAACCCTAACAACCCTGGTAGCAATGTTCTAGGTGCAAAGGATCTACTGGTCATAGACCCTTTGGCACGACTTATGACCAGTAGATCCTTTGCACCTAGAACATTGCTATCAGGGAAGTACAACTCAAGCAGGCAGCCTCCATGACCACTTCGCGGCAAAGGAATTGGGGGACACGGGATAGGCATTCCCCTAGAAGTCAGACGGCCACCTGTAGCGCGGGAAGATCCACATTTCTGTGTAGGACCCGCTCTGCAGTTGGCCAACCACTGTTCGAGGCGTCCGTAAAACACATCGACTGTCAACCACCAACCGGCAATCTAGGAATGTCAAACATGCTCGATGATGAGCGGTAAGCCTGAGTCTTCGGCGCCCGCTAACTCAATGTGTGCCTATGCACAGCAAAGGGCAACGCGAAAGGAGGAGTCGAATTTACTTAGGCGACACAAAAG